CTGGGATGTCCCTGTCCCCCAGGGTGGCAGCTCTGCAGGGTGCTGGCTCAGCCCTGCTCCCTGCCCTGACTCCTCCAGCAGCTTCACGCCTGCCACAAGCTGTAATTTAGGTCTAAAAATAAGCGAGGGGGAAGGTGACGAGCTGGTGGCGCGGCCGGGGCAGGGCTGGGTGCAGGTGAGGGGCCATGGGTGGGGATCCCAGCCTGCCTGCAGGGGTCCCTGCAAACCTAAGTGTGGTCTGTGTGGAAATGTGGCAGATTTTGCTCATGGCTCTCGTCCTGCTGTCACCCCATGTGTCTGGGGCCCCAGGTGTTCCCCCCCAATCCCTGTGCCACCTGCGTGGGTCGCTGGGGCTGACCCAGCCTGGCCTCTTGCCCACGTCCCTCTCTTCCCACCAGCATCTCAGGGGCATTTGAGCCCCTGTCTGGGACTGCCTGTCATTTTTGGGTGCTGAGGTGCCATCCTTGGGTATCTCTGAGGGGGGATGATGCATCCAGGGGCCCCATGGGGGCACAGTGCCCTCCCCATGCCCCATCCCTGGCACTAACCCTGCCTGTACCTCTGCCCCCAGCCTGCATCTTCCGCTTCAATGTCCTCTCCTTGGTCTACCTGCTCTTCCTCCTGCTCCTGCCCTGGTTCCCTGGGCCCACCCCGTGCCCTGGTGGAGGTAAGGGGATCAGCCTGGGGTGTGGGGACCTGCTCAGGGGGTGGGCAACATGCAGGCAGCTCTGACCTGGGGGTGCTGGGCAATGTGGAGGTGATTTTGAGAGCGAGGGGGCTGCCAGCCGCTCTCCAGCAGGTACCTGCCCTCCCTCCCCTGTGGTTTCCCCTCCAGCCAGGCACTGTGGCTCCGTGTGGCAGCCTGGCCGTTAATTATGGCCTGGCGTGGCTATTAATAGCCTTCAAAATGGCCAGTTTTAAGCCCCAGCCTTATTAACCAAAAACCTCAAGCCTGGGCTGTGCCCACCAGGTGGGCAGGGATGCTGCCCCCAGCAGCCCCCCTGCCCAGCCCAGCCACGTCCCCCCCGCGGTGGGGGATGCAGGGGATGCCCCCCCCGTGCTGGGCACGTGGTTGCAGCCCCCCCTGCAGTGGGTGTGTGGGACATGTCACCCCACGGTGGGCACTGGGTGCCCGTAGCCCTGCTCAGCTCCCTGCCCTCCGTGGGTGACACGGGCCAGCAGTGCCTGGCACGGCCCCGGCTCAAAAGCTCTGAATATTTCATGGGTTCTCATGGAGCTGGGGAGCTGCTGGGAGCCTTCCCACTGATTTACAGGAGAAAAACAAGCAGAGGGGGAGAGAGTTTCTGGCCCAGGGTTGTGTGTTTCCCCCCCCTGTGGCCAGCATGCAGCTGTGGTGGGCTCGCTGCCTGCCCCGTGGCCAGGAAAATGGGCGTGTGGCCCAGGTGGGATGGGGGCACTGCTGCAGCTGCTGGAAGGTCTGACAGGACCATCTGGCACCCACCCACCCACCCACAGCAGCCCCCTCTCCGTGGGAAGGTCCAGCAGGAGTGGTGAG